GTGCGACTTTTTTTTGTTTCCCCGTCTGAAGAGAGAGCTGAAAGGAAAGCATTGGGAGTCTGTGGAAAACATTCAAAAGCATGTTACAACGTTCCTAAGAGACATTCCCGTCGAGGAGTTTCAGCGTTCCTTCCAGGCGTGGCAGACACGTCTCCGCAAGTGTATTGATTCAGGGGGAGAGTATTTTGAAGAATTTTGAGCATTTGTACCGCTACGATCAATAAATCTATTTTTCCCAGAAAATGCGCATTACTTTTATAATGGACCCTGTAAACTGTGTTTATACAAGTACATACATGTTTGAAAATGACCGCGTTCTGTGTCAAGATGGAGGCAAGTTTGCGATACTTTGTTATCTAGTGGTTTTAGCTGCCGAGTAGCGTATGCGCTATATGGCAGTAATATACAAATTGCATGTGAAATTGCACGAGTGAAGTTTTTCTTTCAGTTTTTTATTAAGATGCACAAATATTTGAATTATTAATCAGGTTAATAAAGAAATAGGTAATGAAGAGGTTAAATTTAAAGAAAATTATAATTCATAAAAAATTATTTATTTTATTTTTGGATTTATTCTTTTATAATTCGGCATTTGTTTTTGTTTCATAAAATCGTTTTGTCATTTGGTATAATTATTTTAAAAAAATCGATAGTGTATGTAACATTTTAATTACTATTATACATTTCGTATTGCATGTTTCGGAAATAGTGACCTAAAAATAGTTCAAAATTCAAGTCAGATAAACTTTTAAATAGAAGATTTTCATAACTTCGCGCTAATTTGGTTGATTCAGAAATTCATTCATCGATTAATTTTTGAGTGATAACTAATGCATGTGCTGCACATATCAGAACGTCTTCGTGTGGATAACATAATCCTCTTCGATTATTCGCGTTTATTAAATTAGAAAATGCTGTGGTTTAATTCGTTGTTAAATAAACTTTGCAGTACTCGCATTTAAATTTTTTTACTGCTGAATACGCAGTATATCCAGCTGTGTAAAAGTAACCAGAAGTGGCCAAGTTTCCTCCTCAATCTGATCAATGTCGTCATCATCAACGAAGCACGTTTTTCTTAATCGGGTATATTTCCTATTTGAACATTAAAGCATCTAAAAATTTAAATACATGTTCTAAAACTGTAACTGGTGAACAAATATAAAAAATAGCATGGAATATGTATTGTTATATTTGGCAAATATTTATATAATTCTTTGTTTGTTTTTCTATAGAAATTCTAGATATTATATTATAGTAAATTAAAAATAGAAAAACGACATAGTATAAAAATTTAATATCTTACTTTAAAAGTTGTTATTCTATATAATTGAGTAGTTAAGGATTTGGTTTTTTATACAGACCTTAGATGTTACAATTACGTCTAAAATTAATAAATTTATCAAAATTTATATAGAAAATCATACATTTTCAAATTATAATCTTATTATACAATTGTAATTATGCTACGAACTATACCATATGTTGAACCATCGCATGCTTATTATGCAAATAATATGTAGTATTTTATATTATATAAAAGAAAGTAAATAGAAATAATTGCAATATAAATATCATGAAATATTTGTTATATAAAATATTATTCCTAAATTATATAGCAATTATAATTTGTGTCGACTGAGTATAAACAATAATAAAGCCGCATAACGTCAGTTGGAAGAACTGAAACGTCATAACCGCGTCATGGAAGATCATGGAGTTTACTCGCTCTGTACAAGCGTGGACGAGGAGTTACAACGGAAAAAATAAAAAAGATTAAGAAAAAAATGTTAAACAGTTGCCAAAAATGCCGAAGAGTGTAACTACCAACGTACAACTGCAATAACTGGCAAAACGTATGCGTATTCCATATTTTAGACATAGTATTACCATGTTGATTACTTATATTATATTAAATATTCTATCGTATATACTAATTTTTATCATATTAAATAAACTATTTCTATCGTTTTTTCTATCGTTTTTTTCTGATCTTCATTAAAATGCTTACTATAATCAATATTATATTTTTATTCAACATTGTTAGCATAAATACGATTTATAATAAAACATTATTCAAACCAGAGTTGACAAATTCTTATCATTATCTTCGCTGCATTAAAATCGCCGTGCTAACCGCTTAGTGAAACCGCTGTAAAACGAATCTTTCGAGAAGTGCCGAGAAAATCGCCGAGATTTTCCATCACCGCGATTCCAAACACAATTTGGAAAAGGTGACCGCATTCAATATTCTGTTAATCTAATATTTAATTAATTATATTTTCTGACTTTGTAACTGTGCATATTAAAAAAAATTCTTTTGTTAAATTACAAAGAAACGGAGTTCTCTTTACTGTCGTGCATCATATCAACCTTATGCCGTTCTCTCACTCGAATCTTTCCGCGCAGTGCGCTCTCGCACATTTTTTGGTTCCAAAAATGATGATATATCTTGGGAAGGAACTTCTACATCGCCATATACACTTGACTTTAAAATAAGTGGTACAATATTCTGGATGCGCAACTTATTTTCCGATTCAAAAACCTGCCGGATAGAAACGTGATACTGTCCTCCAGCCTGCTGTTGATACATATCAAAGCATTCTTCTAAACGATCGAAATTTGGAATTTCCCACACAGCAGAAAACTCCATTTTTTCTCATTCAAACTATATAATTTGCAATTTGAATTAAAGCGTCCGTTGTAAGGGATAGAGCGAAGTGAGTTTTTCGTGTTAGTTTCCCATCATTTTTCGAATTTTCCCACCGTTTCAATCAAAGTAAGAATTTTTTAAAATTTAATATGTATAGAATTTTTCGTGATAGGTTCTTCATAAGGATTTCTGCCTCTTTTCTCTTTCCTTTCTCCTAAAAAGATTTTAACGTTTACTACATCCCACTATCGACAGATTATTTGAATGTAAGCAACAGTATCCTTGAAGCCTCAAAATTGTTTTTTTTTGGGCCAAGTTCACGCAGTGCAATTGCAACATTTGAATTAAAAAGTAGTATACAAGAAGGGCAAAGAGCCAATAACGTATAAAAGAATTTTAATTTAAATAAACAAAATTAATACAAAACAATTATAATAAACAAACGTTTCAACTCCAATCGAGTCATTTTCAATGTAATCTTAAAATATATAAACATTATTCTAAATTAAAAATATGCACATGGTCTTACAATATTATTATAATTCCTTAATATCAAATTTTTCATTTTGTGTAGTATGCTGCGAGTCATTTTTATCAAGAATTAACAAAATCATAAGAAAATTCTTAGTAAATGTGTTAAGAGTCCATCAATAAACAACGAGAAAAAACGCATGTAGATTGTAGTCCATTTTGTGGCACAATATAATAGTCTTTTTATTTAATAAGTTATTATAAGCAAATTTGCAAAGGTAACAAGCATCTGACTTGCACGATGTCAAATAACGAAATCAATGTTTGCGAAGGATTTTAATAATATGCACAGAATCTACGACAAAAAATATCGCCTCGAATTATCAGCAGGCTTTTTACTTCAGGTAGATCGCTAAAAAAGGACATTGCTTTCGCATTAATAGCAATATTATCCGAAATGACTAAGCACTTCAAATCCGATTTTTTCCAACCCAATGACAATTTTTTTATATAATAATTATGTAGGGTTTGAGCGTCCAGTGTTTTTACAGGTACGATATGAGCAACATTGCGATACGTTGATAATAAACTGTTCACTATGAAAACGTGAGCACTTGTTGCAACAATCTGCACTATTAAAAGCTTTCCCGACAATATTTCTGCCTTTATAATCCATATACGGTTTTATATGAATTTCATCAATCATAAGAGTTATCGTTTTATCTTCATCACGGAGCAGTTTAAATTTCGACCATATACTGAAGCAACGTTGATTCGTTTTATTCCACCTGAGGATTATCTGAGAAGTTACTGCACGTTCTTTTTATTGTCGTTGAAGATGGTAGCAATAAATGTCCTGAATTGCGAAGAAATTTGTACGCGTGTGAAGAAATCGAATGCACTAATTTACAAAACAAAGTTGTTTCCCACGAATATCAAAAGATTTTTATCTGCTGCAACAAGAACTCGATAACAGGCTTTCGCAGGTAATATCAGCAACAAAGAATTCAAAATATCGATGCACGCATTAATGTTATCTATTGCTGAATAGTCTTGATATTTTTTGTCCAACGATATCAACGCTTGATAGAGAATGTCTTCGATTTCAAAGAACGAACTTACGATGAACGGAAAATTGAATTTCTTGTCGTTTAATTTTGTCACCTTCCGCGATCTATAAAACAATTTTAAAGTGAAATCTTCACATTGACACTCGCACACAACATATTATATGAAATATCTTCAATGTGAAGTATGTAAAGAATGTCCCTGCATGAAATAATCTACTTTTGTAAATCGATGCGTTTTTTTATTTTCGTGTAGAGTTCGTCGAGACTCAATTTTCTCGTTGAAAACTTGCTCCATTTCGATGCTGTTAGCAATAGCTTGCTCAATCATGCTCTAATTTCATTCGCTTTGTTTCTTTGTTTCTGGAGCTAAACATTTAGGTGCATCATTGGTTGTCATTTAACGAGGGCAATTTGGAAACTGACTTGGGACAGTATCTGTACAAACATATAATTGCAATTGAAGAAAGTAAGCTTGTCTTATTGCTTTGCTGTAAGGAATATTGAATTTGAATTGACGCTTTTAATACACACAATATTCACAATTCTCTGTTATTAAAAATTGTATGACTAGAAAACCAATTTTTTAAAAACATTTTGGACAATTGATTTGATATTCGGGAGGTTCGATATAGGAAATAGAAATTTATTGTAACACACGTACATTTAAGAAAAACGTTTAAATCTTAATTATTATTCATAAAATTATAAAAAATTAGGAAAATTAGGTTCGACAATGTAGTCTAACAAAAGAAAATGTAGATTGCGAAGCCGTTTTTTGCGAAGTCGCACAACAGCTAATACTAGCCTTATAAAAACAAGATAAAACGACATAATATTTGATTAATCGGAGCCAATAATTCGATGTGCTAATGGTGCGTTTGTCAGTCGATGTAGTAACTAGTTTCTCGTTCAATTTTGGACAACCGGAAATGTAGCTCGTATACCTGTAGATGAATAAAAAAAAGATGTAAAGAATAAAAAATTTAATAAAAAATTGAATAAAAAAATAAAAAAATTTTTTTTTAAATGGATCCTGATTATTATATCGATTCTAAAGATATATTTTATTACACTAAATCTTAGAAATTAATTTCAAAAGAAATTAGTTATAATAATTGATTACTTTTGAATTGTTTGTTGGCTGGAAGTTCTTTCTGCAGATGGCATGTAATCATTTTTGTTTCATCTCTTCATTTTTTGGAAACAAAAATGTTTCAACCTGTAGACCATATTTGTAATTGTCATTACAATTCAGAACGCAGCATTTGAACGACATTTCTGTAAATTAGTAAGATGTTTCAATAAAAGAGTATTGTTCTTCAGAAAAGAGTATTGTTGAAATAACCAAAACATAATCTATAGTTAAACATATTTGTCCAATTTTCAAATGATTTTTATAATTCGGTAAATTAATGAGACATAAATCTCACCTCAAGAGCACTCGTGAACAATAAATTATAAAAAAGATTCCACAAAGAATTCTCAATCGCTTACTGAAATTTTCTCACGAGACACGTAACACTGAAAGACGCTCGGCGCGCTCGGTTTACTTGTGATGACGTCACAGAGCTGTCCGAACGAGGTGGAGAGGCCTTGTCTATAGGAGATTGGTACAATACAGTGATTATTCCATCCTTGTACAATGGCGAACAACAAGACTGCAATGATGCACCGTGTCACACCGTGTCGCACTGTGTCTTTTGTCGGAAGGCACTCTATAAAGCCAAAATTGATTAAAAGGTTACTGTCATGCGTGTTTCTTGTTGGAAGACATCTTATAAAGCCAGAATGGGAAAGATTAGTATTAGGTGTTGGAATTAATTCGTAGCGTTTTACAAGTGATGGGAAGTACTTTCATTAATGTATTTTTTAATGCTCATGTGAAATAAATAACATTCTTTCATTAAAAAACGCTACGAATTAATTCCAACACCTAATACTTTTATGACATTCGTGGAAGTATCACTTTTATTTATCATACAAATGATATGATTAAATGTTATAACCGTAAATTGCCTAATTATGATCCAATGTTAGAGCATTAATCGGGCTGACTAGCTATAACAAAATGCCACAGCCGTAAATCGTGCTTTAGCTAGTTATAAATAAATATCAGAGGCGTTCATCGTGGGCTGACTATTTTTAATTTACTGTCAAAGGCATTTCGATTATCAAATCTAGTGAAATATGATGCTTGCGGAACTAATTCGTAGAATTTTGTGTCTGTAATTGAAGATATACGAATGGATGCATTGTCATGATGGACCAAAAGCTGGTTGCTTGACACGACCAAACAATGAAACTAATGAACATGTCTGTTTGAAATTTTAACAGTAATCCTGTGAAGGATCAAACTTTTCTAAAATTACAGCAGTTTGATGTTTGTGGGATTATTTCTGTATTAGACCGAGAGCTTTTCGAACTTATATCCCCGTATAAGTCAGTATATCAATAATAACTGTGTATTAGAATCTATAATAAAAATAGCATGTTGTACTTAAAAAAAATAGATGTGACCCTGATCTGATCTTGCAGACGCCAAAGTTAAATTGAATATCAATGAATAGCTTCTTACAACTTTTGCCTGAAACGTTTCTTCTAAAAACGTTATACAAGTATAAGGACCTTATCACAAGAATGGCCGTAACTGAGTCGTAGAACGTGAATCATAGTCATAGATCAACGCACTATATTCTGGCGTACTATGTATGTCGATACAAGTACAATTCACATTCCTTCACGATTAGTTGTAATCATCTTTATGTTCTGCTCATAAATTCGAGGTCTTTTGGACATCCTATATAATATATATGTTATACATATACATATGCTATACATATATATATAAAACATATATTACATAATCAATAGTCATATGTATAATTTTTATGCGACGCTATGTATCTATGAAATGTATATAAGTATATCGTATTCAAAGTGTTTTAATAAATGTATATACTTATTGGTCAATGTATACATTGACTAACAGTAAGATACAATACCAGATGTAGAAGTATGAAACCGGAATTTTTTTGTAAAAATTACACGTCCGTTGTTTGAAAATGATAAAAAATTTTTTATTCAAAATAATCTCCATTGCTATTTATACATTTTTCCCACCTCTCCGGCAATGTATGAATGCCACGCCAAAAAAACAGTTCTTCTTTTGAAGCGCAGTTATCGAGCCATTTTCGTACATTTTCATACGAATTGAAGTGTTGTTCAGCGAGAGCATGTCAGTGATGCGAATAGATGATAATCGGACCGAGCCAAGTCTGGAGAATAAGCCGCATGCGCTAATATCTCCCAACTGAACGCCTCGATCGTTTCCCTGACCCGTTTTGCTGTGTGTGATGGAGCATTATCATGAAGCAAAATGACTTTGTGTTGCCTTTTTCCATATTCCGGTCGTTTTTCACGTAATGCTCTAAATCGATCATTTGCTGTCGGTAGCGATTAGTGTTAACGGTTTCACCAGATTTTAGCAGCTCATAATAGATTACACCCCGATTTTCTTGCTGTCTTTCATTCAGTTCATGCGGAACCCATTTTCCCACTTTCTGAATCTTGCCCATAGCTTTCAAACGAATGGAGATGGCTTTCTGCGTTACATTCAATTAATCCGCGAGTTCTTGTTGAGTTTGAGTATCATCTTCATCCAATAAGGCTTGCATTCGTTGTCTGTGAACTTTTTCGGTGGTTTCCCACGCTCTTCGTTTCTCATGTCAAAATCACCACTTTTGAATTTTTTGAACCACTCGAAACACTGTGTTTTACCAAGAGCATGTTCACCGTAAGCTTCGACAAGCATTCGATGCGATTCTGCAGCAGTTTTCTTCAAATGATAACAGAAAACCAATGCTGTCCGCAAATCGTAGTTCGTAGGCACAAAACTCGACATGTTTAAGGTTAGAAAAAAATATACCGGTGTATGGAACTTGGGTTGTTGGAAATCTTCGTCAGCTGTTAGAGAGAGATGATGGCGCTGCAGTTGCGGTCTTGTGGTCCTTAAACTGATAGCTAGTGCTATATATAGGGAAATTCCGGTTTCATACTTCTACATCTGGTAAGTATATTTTTACTAAATGAACACTCTGACTGTGACATAAATATATCTTCGGATACAAACATGTATTTGATATACATGCATACACGTGTAATGTAATAGCACTTTTTCCTTTGTTCCATTTTAACTTAGGATGTAACATTGTCAATACATAAATACATTACACAAACATATGTAACTATTCCATCTCTTTTTATTATGTTTATGGCTTTTTACAATAATAAGCCATTAGTTATAAATCAGATACTAAAAATTGACGACTGTGATTGGTCAATTTTTAGCTTCTGACTTCTGATTTATGACTAATGGCTTATTGTAGAAGGTCCATAATAAGAGATAGAAGTTACTCATACTTAAATATTCGTGCAGATATAGTATCGACATATTAGTAAATATTGTATTAGAATTATAAATAGTAATAATGTAATCTTTTTATGGACTCTTTCAAAATCAACAACAAAAAATCCAAAAAAATTATGGCGAATGAGAGTTAGCGTGGTAATTAACTATACGCAATCTTAAATTTTTATTTCAGAAGATAGAATCTTTATTCCAAAAAATAGTATCTTTCAGTTCACTTTGGAATCATTCTCAGCAATTTCAAAATATCAATCTCTTCAAGTCCTAGAAAAAATCACCATCAGAATAATAGATTTGATGTTGTAATTTATTCCATACATTAAATTAATATTATTATTACTTATAAATATTTCGAAACAATTCTATCCAACAAGTTACAAATTAACGTTAAAAAATTGATGATTCACCCCAAGATATAGAAGAAATTCGTCTCGACAATGGATCAAAACCATTTAAAATTTATTATCACTAGAGAGTATCAAGTTAAAAACCGCATATTGATCACAGCTCGAACGAAACATGACTAATACATTTAACATAGTAAGTAAGACATGTCAGGTCAACAAGGAAAATAAAAAGAAAAAAAACAATGTCAATACATAAACAATAATTTGTATAAACTGACAAATTGTAACTATTTAATGTCTTTCAATAATTGTATATAAGTTTTACACCCTCTGTATCTGAGCGTAAATTGAGACTATTTCGTTGCATGAATATATGAAGGCACTCAGATATTAAACGTTTATTAAGAAAATGCTCTTCATCTAATATCGCGATATTCTCCCAATTGAAGTCATGTTCAAATTCAATCCGATGTTCTGTGATCACCGATTGGTTGTTATTCCGGATAATATTATACAATATATGATTACGAGCTCAGTCAATCTAGTTTTAAGTTTTCTTCCTGTCTGTCTAACATAAGGCATCGCAGGATTTACATGAAATTTTATACACAACATTTTTTTTTCTTTTCTCTTAGGATGTCTTATATCCCTTGATCAAACTATATTGTGCGAGAGCGCACCGCGCGGAAAAATTCGAGTGAGAGTTCGGCGCACGGCTGGTATGATGCACGACAGTAAAATCAACTCAGTTTCTTTGTAATTTAACAAAAGAATTTCTTTAATATATTCAGTTACAAAGTCAAAAGATATAATTAATTAAAGATCAGATTAACAGAATATTAAATGCGGTCACCTTTTTCAAATTGAGTTTGGAATCGCGGTGATGGAAAATCTCGGCGATTTTTCTCGCCACTTCTCGAAAGATTCGGTTTATAGCGATTTCACTAAACGGTTAGCACGGCGATTTTACGAAGCGAGATTATGACTCTAAGAACTCTAAGAACTTTTTGGAAGTAAGAAGGAGGACGGCGAGATCGAAGCATTTATTGCTTTCGGCCTGAGCTTTCCCTTTTGGGAAAAATCCAATAAAATTTTGCCACAATCGTAATTATTACGTGGCATTAGGTGTACAGAATTGATTGGCGCTTTGAATTCTTTTCTAGCGACGTTCAACGTAACAGTCATGCGCGGCAGAAAATCCGTGCGTGGGATTGGTGACAGCGCATGACGTATTCGTCAGAGCGTGGCGCTCGCGTGCGCGAATTGAATCGTTCTAGAACTTTCGATTGTCCGTTGCCGGTAACGACAGCTTGTTTGCGTGTAACGAATTGTTTTTAAAAAGAACAAAGAACGACGAATTCGATGATTTTAATGAGGATTAAGATCATGCTCGAGATGAAATCACGAGCTCAATTTATGCATGCGTTCAATGACAATTAATGTCGGTCGACTGAAAGAATTCTTGCTTTTCTTTCGAATTACCGATCTCGAACAATATAATTTATTTAAGCTAGTAAAAAATTAATTTAGTGTTAAAGGTTTTACTAATTTTTTTGAATTCGTCTGAAATTTTTGAAATATAAGGTATAATAGTACATACAAACCAAGAAGTACAATCTGTCTTGATTTTTTCACTTGACTCTTTCGGTTGTATCGTATCTTTATGAATGAGAATTTTTAAACGTGTGTTAATAGTATTAAAAATGAAATCAATCGATAATCATTTTTTAGTAATGTACTGATAATGTGTTCAAAATTTTTTGGATGATATTTAGGATTATAAAAACGATAATAAAAACGCTCTATCTCATACCTATTATATGCCTCTTTTTTGTGAGAGTGGACAATAAAAAATTAAGGCAACTTTCCGAATAAATAGGCTTATGATCCCAGTCAAATTCAATTAGATTGTTATTTTTAATAATATTAATATCCA